TCATTGCCATGTTGGCTATTGCCTGTACCATCTGTATAAGCCCAGGGTCAGGGAAAGAATACTGGGTTTATGTACCTAATCCTCCCTTACAGACCCTTATGTGGGCTGAATTTCCCTGAGATTTACCATGATCAATTAGGTTAGGTTCCAGGAGGCTTTACTAGCCCCTGGTTTGTACATTCTAATATTACTCTGAATTATACATCACACTTTTTATATCCACCCTTATGCACTGAGCATAAGTCCTTACAATTTGAATTATCTGCTGCCTGCTCACCTGCAGTTTTGGATGGCCCATTATAAAGAACCATTAATATTTGGGGGAATGGGATCTATTAACATTTCAGGGGAGTGCATTAATTCCTCCACACCTGATGCTCCTCCATGTGCACAATATACATTTTGGGGAGACATATGATTCTGTCCCCCACCATGGACTTCTTGCATAGGAGATACAGCATGAAAAATGTACATAGATTGGGGCCTTTGTGGGAGATTACAAGGAAGAGACAACAATCACGTAGCCTGGCATATGGCCCATTGGCATTACTATACCAACTATTTTAGAAGAAACATCTCTGTCATATATATTATCGACAAAGGACAATTTGCATGGCATGGGGACGGCTTCAGCACCAACCCCCACCGCCACTGCCACAGGCCATCTTTAATGGCAAACCTGGACCTCTTCAAAAATCATTTTAGAAACTGACCCTTCCTTATTGTAGTGGTCAGCTGTGAAAAGGGCATGTGGTTAAATTTACTACAAATATCTCAAACATTCTACTTTGTAGAAATAAAACCACATGATTTTTCCATATATACTTATAATCTTTATATCTTTACATATGGGACTATTAAATAGAATCTTACCTCATTTACATGTAGAGAATGTCCCCTGAGCCATTTTGTATCAACCAACACCTTAGTAAACAATACATCGCTAGTCTTGGGGCTTATGCCCGGGGTCTGGATGCCCATGAATCTTACAGAACCATGGGCTGATACTCCTGTTATCTACGCTTAAAATCACTGACTGATCACTGAAAGAAAAGGATGTTAGGATTGATTGTTATAGCAATTGTCTCTTTGGTTTTGTTAATTTCCAATGTTGCCGTATCTTCTGTAGCTCTTGCTCATCGTATACACATTGCTTATTTTGTGGATAACTGGACCAGAACTGCAGACAAAGCCTGGAATATTCATTCTATTGATGCAAAATTACAGTCACAAATCAACATTTTAGAGACCACTATTATGTGGATGGGAGATCAAATGGAAAGTCTGCAATTATAACAGGGCCTCTGGTGCCATTTCAGCATCACTCAGTATTGTATAACTCCTCTCATGTATAGCTGATCCATCCATCTTTGGGAACATACAAAGAAGCACACACAGGGTGCTATCCTTAGTAACATAAGTATCGATTTAGAGGCACTGCAAAAAGGACATATTATCTATGTTTCAACAAACCCAAGTCGGGTGGCGCACACCTGTAATCCCAGCACCTGGGAAGCTGAGGCAGTCACAAGCAAAAACATCTCTTGAAACCAGGCCCTTGGCTACTGGAGATTACTTTAGTCTACCTCAACAAATTGATGAAAACCTGCTGCTGTCCTTATTCTGTAAGTAGCTTGCTCTCTCCTGGCTAATTGCCCAACTTCCTTAGCTGAAGCCCCGTTTCAACTGAGTGTTCCCCCATAAGCTGTTCCTGTATAAAAGTATGTGTACTTGTCATATTTGGCCTCATCTTTTTTTTTCTTTTTTGGTCTTTTTGAAACAGGGTCTCACTATGCAGTTCAGGCTGGCCTTGAGCTCACTTTATAGCCCAGGCTGGACTCAAACTTGCGACAATCTTCCTGCCTCAGCCTCCCAAGTGCTGGGATTACAGGCGCATGCCACCATGCCCGTTTATGGCCTCATCTTTCTACTCTGTCTTTAGGTCAAAAGATCCTGTTCTTGATTAAAAAAAAAAAAAAAGATTCTGTTGTCCAGTATCACTAGGGTTGGACAAACATCAAAGGGATAGAGAAAATATTGAGCCTGGAGAAGAAATCAGGTACAATTCAAAGAGCACAGAAAAGAGGTAAGAGACTCAGTTCCAGTGGTAACTGTTCCAAGCTGTCTGAGGGACCAAAGTCACCTGGAATTAACTCCTCAGTCAGCTTTCCTATTGGCTGAGCAAGAGGGAGAGGCCTATAATCTTGTGGTTCCCCAAGATTTCTCCAAGACCCACTGCCAGGTGAATTCAGATGGCACTTTCAGGACCCAGTGACTCCCCCGTTACTTGCTCCCATGTGGGAAGATACCTTCTTCTTAGCAGGACCATGTACTGATTCACTGAAGAGATGATCTTGCTGCAGCCAGAAAGAGATGGAGATCAGATCTGAACACTGTAATCTGAACAAGTTCTTGGCACTTACTCTGTTACAAGCAAATGCTACAACCAGACCATTCCAGATTAGGGCAGGGTAAGAGTGTGGCCAGGGCCTGAAGAGCAGGAACTGCCTGAAATATGTGCAGCCTGAAGTCAGCAGCTGCAGGTGAAAGGGAAGAGCCAGAGAAAGCCTTCCAGACAGAAGCCTCAGAGAGGGGAAAGGCCCTTACCTGAAGTCACTGCGCCCTGCCAGACACTCTGAGGCTACATCCACATTACGCAGCACCTGTGTCCCTGCAGGGTTCCGCACACATGTAATACAATTAGCTAAGAGGACTGGCGAGGGACCTCCCAACAAAGCGGAAGGTAGCGCTTCACCGACCCACCATCCACCAGGAGATAAAAGAGGCTGCACGGTGACAAGGCACTAGGATCCCACAAACTTGGTTCCTAGCCCGGCGGATGGTTAGTTGTGCGGGGTGGACCCCACCTCCTGAGGCATTTTACCTTTCATCTGCTATGTTGATAAGATTCTGTGGTAAAAAGCCATGTAAAGTATGACACATTCCCCAGAACACAGGAAACACTCCAAAAATGGAGAGATCATTGTGTGTGTCTGAAGTTTTGTAGGTAACGGAAAAGCCTGTAAATTGGCTTTTCTTCAGTTTTCTCTCCCACTATTTCCTATCCATTTGCGCAAAGCCTCACAGGTTTGCTTAACATTTTACGCACATATCATATACTTTCCTTTTAAGATCAAATAGTCCATTTAAATCCCCGCTGCTCCTCTACCTCTCTCCCATACTGGGAATTGAACTCAGAACCTCATGCATACTAGCAGTCTTGTTTTCAAAGCATTTTGCATGTTACACAATGCCACTGAGCTATACTCCCCAGCCCCCATTTCAGTTATTTTGATGGGTCTCTTCCTACAGATGAGATATAGGCTTCTGTGCCTGTCCGTCGTCCTCCAGTCAGCTGTCAGTATCCGTGGGTTCCATATCTGTGATCTATCTAATCTTGGATTCAAAAAAAAATTATGTATTATTGGAGATTGAACTCAGGGTCTTCACACTGAGCTACATTTCCAGCTTCTTTCTCTCTTTTTAGACAGGCTCTTTCTAAGTCGCTGGGTTACCCAAATTGGGTTTGAACTTGCAATTCTCCTGTCTCAGCCTCCTAGAGTGCTATATAACAGGAGTGTGCCACCATGCCCAGCTTGAGACTGAAAATATTTGAAAAAAACAAAGACAGCACTCAGGAGGCTGAGGCTGGAGAATTGCTGCAAAGTTTGAAGCCAGCCTGGGCTACACTGTGAAACCATCTCAAAAAACAACAACAAAAAAAAAAAAACACCAAAATTTTGTCTGAATATGTACAGAATTTCTCCCCCTTATTATTCCTTAAGAAATACAACAATTAGTTATATGGCAGCTTTGTTGTATTAGGTACTATAATACAGAGATGATTTAAGTATACTGGAGGATGTGCATAGATTATAGGTAGTTTTATGCCATTTTTTATGAGGGACTTGAGGACCTGCAGATTTTGGCATCATTGGAGGTACAGGCAGAGGCCCTGGAACTAATTCCAGTGGACACCAGGGGATAATTGGTCTTGGCAGTTTGTGGTCCAGACACTCAGCCTTTGGCAGTCCTAGGTCTTTCCTGTTGCCATCGGTCAGTTGCTACCCCACCTGCTACGAGGCTCTGTGCCTCCAGTATGTTACCAGATCTGGTGAATCCCATCAAGCTCCTCCTGGTTCGTGTGACCCTCGTATGTGGCCTGTGAGAGGCCCTGCCATGTGGACTTCCTCCTTTGATCTCAATGACTCATTTTCATTGACTGATGCATGTACCAGGCAGTACTACAGGGCAGAGGCTGGAGATCTGGTACCTGCCATCAGGAAATTCCCAGCCTGGTGAGCTGAATGGGTTTGCATGTAGGCACACAAGAGCAGTAACAGCAGTGTGTGTGTGTGTGTGTGTGTGTGTGTGTGTGCACGCATGTGTGTGTGTGTCTCCAAAGAGAAAGGTGAGGTCACATTACTTCTATTTAACAGGAGAAGAAACAGGCTCAGAAGACACACAGTCCCTAATTCTCATAGATAATAAATTAATAAATGGCAGGGCTGGAATTTAAACCCAGGTCCTCTTGCCTTCAATCCTATTAGTTTCCCCTCTATACCAAGGCCTGGTTATACCTACCTATACAGTGGACCTTAGAGTTATAACCAGCCTGACATATGAACAATTTGGGTTATGACCAGAATTTTACGACCCAAGTCTTGAAGTATGACCCGAATGCCAGCTGCTTGTGCTTACAGATTTAACCCTTAAAGAGTCCTGGATACAACATCCTTTCCCATATTGGATTGAGAAATCCTAAGCCAATATCTCTGTAAGGACACTGAGATCTGCCTGTATACAGAAGAGAGATTTTGAAGGCTGTGTAGAGGAGCCCGAGCCTTCAATTGACAACTTGAGTTACAACCAGTCCTTGGAAATGAACTGAGTTCAAAAGTACTTGTACAGCTAGTGGTGGGCTTCTGATCTGTATCCACTTATCTTGTATATCTTTGTCTATTTTCTGTTGCTATAACAAAATACCTGAGACCAAGAAATTTATAAAGAATAGAAGTTTATTTGGATTATATTTCTGGTGGCTGGGAAGTCCAGCAACATGGCAAGGGCATCCAGTGAGGGCCTTCTTGCTGTATCATGACATGGTAGAGGGCATGATCACATGGAGGGATACAGTAAGCATGCTAGCATGGGCCTCTTCCTTTTCCTATAAAGGCCACTAAGGCCATCATGAGGGTCCCATCCTCGTGATCTCACCTAATCCTTATTACCAGCCGAAGGCCCCACCTCCCAAATGCCATAGCTTTAGGGATTAAGATTTCAATACATGAAATTGTTGTGGGGGGAACCTTTCAAATCATAGCAGTACCTAATCAAGTCATGTATTCCCTGAGAGCTGAGCTCTGCACCTAGGCAGCAGGGATGGAGGGAGGTGGACAGGACTGAGGGACGGGTTAGGTGGAAAAGTGGGAGAAACTGGGTGATGGTGGAAGAGGCAAGCATTCAGTTAGGCTTCAGAGTGTGGCTTGGGTAATGGGTGGAAGGAAATACCCAACAGAGAGAGGACTGCAAGGGAGCAGGCAGAGGGAACTGGGGCTCAAGGGCAGGTGTTTCAGGTTCAGCTCTAACCGGCAAGGAACCCAGCATTCTATCCCATAACCCACCCCTTCTTGCCAGATCATTCTGAGTCTTTCTCTCCTGGCCATCTGCGGACACATGACAGAAACTGGGGGCAACTTTTAGCTTTACATGCTGGATGCTGAGGATCACAAATGATCATGCCAGATGATCAGGACAGGACAGGAGCTATTGTGTTCAGCACCATCACTCAGGAAGCTGGCTTGGGAGCATGGAGAAGAAGACCGTCATCCAGGAATGTGAGAACAGCCCGTTGAGGGAAAAAAAAAACCATCATTTACTGCCTTCTTGTTAGTAAATCCTTTCAGAGACATATACCTTCAGCTACCTTGGGAGATAGCTTCCTATTTTATATATAGGTAAGACTGACGTTTTGAGAGCACTGGTTTGTTTGAGGCAAGGGAAGGTGAAAAAGGAAAAGAAAGTTCCATGCCAAGAATCAACAACTACTCTTTGATCTATATTAACAAACCTAGTCTCTCAAAATCTCTACATGCAACATCAGTAGCTGCACTGTAGGAGCTCTAAGTTCAGATGGAATAGGATGTTCAAAGGTCCTGAACTGGCAGAGTTTTGCAAAGTTTCAAGAACTACACAATGCTTGTGCAGGACCATGTGGGCTGCATCCAAGATTTTGGGGGTGGGAAACTAGGGTTGGGGGGTCAAACCCCGGGCCCTGTGCATGCTAAGCAAATGCTCTACCAATGAACTACATCCTAGCCTCACATCTAAGGAGTTCAAATCTTCAGAGAATTCTAAATAAGTGGCAAAAACAACCGGAGTGTTTTCTTCAAAAGGCCCCAACTGCACAGTAGAAAATGGCCTGGACTGAAAGTAAAGACAAGATAGGTTTTCCTAGCGATGTAAGGGAAAGACAAAGAAGAAGAATCATGCCAAGAATCAACATGGACTTGAAGAGGGAACACAGGACCTGAGGAGAAGTGGATGAATTTGTAAGCTATTCAGGAGGTAAATCGACAGGGCCTGTGATTCATTCTAGGTGAAGAGGTGGAGGAGGATGTGGTAGCAACTTCCAGGTTCTCCCCTCTGGCTTGCAGCTCCCCTACCTCGCCTAAGCAGGTTAGGGCAAGGTGCTAAGATTGAGGCTCCATGCTGAGGCCTATCCTGTTAAACAACGGGACCTAAACAGAAGTTAAGAGTCAAGAGAGGCCTTCCTTTTGACATGTTTCAGAATGCCATGATGCCCACATTCCAGAGCTGGACTCACTCATTTAGCAAGATTCATCTCCAATAGCACAAGCCTAAAGTTACCTAGTCATCTCACCAGTGCCGACTGGAAGTACCCCTGCTGCTGCCCAAGGGTCTGTGAAAAAAAACATCTCTCAGTTAACTCACAGCCAGACTGCCCAAACCATGTCTTCTTGAAGTCCTCCCCCTCTGTGCTTATTTTATGGACTGGACGTGACTGCCCAGCTAGGATGGGACTGCTGCTGGGAACAAGGCTGGGGACAGAGATGCTGCACATGAAGTTTTATTTGCTTCTGATATGTATTTACAGGTATATACAGCTGGTGTGAGCCTATGGTACATTATTTCACATAATTATCTTACACACTGTGCATACTTCTGGGAAGGAAGTGGCAGATTCTGTTCCGATTATCCCACAAATGGTGGAGAAGGCCACTAACAGGGGCCACCCTTTCTCCAAGGATATTCATGGGGGCTGCCTGCCCACTTTTCCAGACCCCAAAGGCCTCCCACAGACAGTCTGTGCCTCCCTCCTGCTCTGGGCACTTGCTAACAGGATCTCAGTGGTGGTAGCGGCAGCAGCTGCTTCCAAAGTTTCTCCTGGAACAGAGGAATACTCAGGGGAAGACAGAAAGCTACGGCCCCCACTCACAGATAGTGCCAAACTAACACCTGATGCTGAAGGCCTGACTCGGATCCTCTTTCCCCAGCACGGGCACAGCTTTCCAAGCCCAGCGCAGCCTGGCTTCATGGGGCACTGGCATGCATCTTCTCCAGACAACTCGTCCAGAACATGACCAGCCGGTTGTCACGGTTGATGCAGAAGTCCGTGAAGTCCTTCAGCAGCCGATCAGCAAATTTCTCATCCCCCGTGGCGCTGGAACGCCACGTCTTGGTCAGCATGGTGTTGTAGGCCCAGTTGTAGCCAACCCGCTCCTCGCAGAACATGTTCTGGTTGCTGGAGCTGGTGGAGTTCCGCCGCCGCCGCTGCTGCCCTGAGAACTTGCGCTTGGAGTAGGGCAGCTGCAGGAACACCGTCCCTGAAGGGAAAGGACAGGGCCTGTGTGGCAGCCAGCAGGACACCCAGAATTTGGCAGAGGTGGTGCTGCAACCTCAGGTTCAGTGTAGGGGATGAGACCTTTATGAACAGGCCCAGGCTTTCAGGGCTCATGCATCTGCCACAAGGGCCCCACCTGTCCAACGTTTTGCCCCCAGCACCTCACCTGTGACGTGGATGTACTGAGGCTTGTTCTCAGCAGGGAAGTTGAAAGCAGAGGCAGAATATTTGTCTTGTACAAACCCGAATCTAAGGGAAGCACAGGAAGACACAATGGTTAGAGCCCTCTTGGCTAAAGGAACAGGGGAGAGAGTGTGGCTAATAAGACGCTGACAGTATGAGATAAAGGGATCTTATTAAAGGTGAACCACACACACTGCTTATTTTTATTCTTACCACTTCATTCCTTCAACACTGAGGCTCCCCAGCATTCTGTTGTCCAGGTGTTTTTACCTCCACAGATAGGACCTGCTGCACCTTCATCCAGGCGTCATCTCTGCTCAGCTACACCCTCTTTCTCACTGAATTCTCCAGACTCCGAGCCAGCGCATTCTCCCCCATCCTTCCCATCCCCGACCTTCATGCTGCCTTTTGCTGGAATCTACCTCCTGTCCTAGCTAGCATCTAACTCCTGTCCTGCTGGCTGCAGCACTCACCCGCATACATTCCTTATCTGAGTCTACCTTAGCCACACCTCTCCCCCAGCCCCCGCTGTTCTCATGCTAAACATGTAGAAAGGTTCTCAAACTGAAATGGCATAAAGTATCTTAATTGAATTCCTTTCGAAAGTGAGGAACGTGTGCTCACTTGGGCAGCACATATATTGAAAGTGAGGAACACTAATTTGGGGCTCTTTGCTCTGCTCTGGAAATAGGCAGGAGAAACATTTTTCATCTATGACTTGTTCTGTTCTACTTCTCATCCATCGCCTGTTCTATTCCTGGTTTTTCTATTTCCATAAGGCGCATTTATTATAGTCCTACCTGCTAAGAGCTGTAAAGGACGTGCTAACAGATGTGGCTCCTGGCCTGAGTCTGAAACGTTTATATAATGAAGGCAGTGATGTAGGCAGAGCCAAAGGAGGTAAGATGCCTGTCTGCTTTCCTGGACTGAGCTCCTTGGGGAGGAGCTGTGTCAAATCCTCTAAGCTGACCGCTTTACATTGACATTCTATAAGTATTTACCAAAAAATACTTAAAAGTCAAATATGCAAATTGAATAGCTAGCTTAATGTGCACTCCCTCATCTCCAGGCTGCTTCTATGGCGTATGGAAATGGTCTGGATTTTTCTCTGCTTCCTCTGTACTTTGCAATCAAGCCTACTTGATTTACTCAGCATGATCAGCCTAATCAGAGTATTCTTGCCTCATTTCTCCTTAGATCATCACCAGAAATGCCTTTATTTTTTAAAATACAATTTGCTGGGCTTGTTGGTGCAGGCCTATAATCCTAACACTTGGGAGGCTAAGACAGGAGGATCACTGCAAGTTTGAGACCAGCCTGGGTGACACAGTGAGTTCAAGGCCAGCCTGAACTACACAGAGTTAGGTTTTTGAGACCCTGTCTCAGAAAACAAAAACAAGAACATACATACGTACATACATACATATTAAAAAGCACAATTTAACCACATGGTTCCTGGCTACCGCATTAGCCACTTGGGGAAAATGCAAGCCAGGATCACAGTGAAAGTAAGAGGCTCTACTATTTTCACCCCAACAACCCAGAGAAGCTGAAGGAGCTGGGAGTCACAGCAGAGGGTATCCAGGGTAGATGGGTACTTTTCTAGTTTTTTCTGAGATAGGAGTATGAGTGAACTAATATGTCATTTCACAGCCATATTCCCACTAAAATTTCCTGTTACGGTTTAGATCAAGAAGGTCCCTAAACACCTTATGTACTCATAGATGGGGCTTTTGGAAGTTGATTGAATCATGGGGATAATACAGTTGACTTTGCTGTTAAGAGACGGGATCTCGTCAAAAGAAGACAGGTCACAAAGGCATGAGCCGGAAGGATGTATCCCCTTCCCTGGCTCCCCACTTCTCTCTGTTCACTTGCTGCCACAATGTAAGCAGCTTTCCTCCACCCAGGCTCTTCCACCATGCCATTTTTGTCTTGGTATGTTCCATCAACTGAAACTTCTGAAACCATGGGTGTCAGGTATTGTCTTAGAGACTACAAAGTGACTAAGAGATTTTGGTTACCAGAAGTTGGGTCACTGTTTTGAATATACCTGACTATGAGGTTTAGAAGCATTTGGAACTGGTTTGCAGGAGTTTGGAAAGGTCTGGAGATGCTAGAGAAACTGAAGCTAGAGAAGCTGTAAAATTTCAAGCTTGATGGAAGATTGTAGTTGGAGATCAGAAGACCAGAATGAGGGTAGAAATGCAGACAGTAGAGGCCAGGCTCAGGAGGCTTCAGCTGGAAATAAGGATTCCATTGGCGGTCACACTTCAGACAATGTGTTATGCTACTGCAGAAAATTTGTCTAATTTTGCTTGTGTCTTGAGACACTGCAGGCTGCAGACTAATCTAGTGTGGGAAAATTCAAGGCAGCCCCATGGGAAGGCTGTAGCATAGATAGTACTTGCTGTTTTTAGTGAGATTTTCACTGAGAAACAGGATCCAAAACCCCATTTTAAAAGTTTTTAGTTCTATCAGAAAGAAAGCACCTGTAAAGATGGAGGAGAGCTTAGTTGCTAAATGAATTAGTATTAAAAAGAAGACAAATTCTTTAGGATAATAAGAAAGCGGGATTATCAGGACAATGGTCTGAGGGCATGTCAAGAATCAGCAAGGCCCTCTCTTTTGCAGTCTTAGGGATATAAAACTGAAATTTTTGCTTTAAAAAGAGAACCCTAGGGCATCTTGGAGATTGGGAAACCTGGGATTTGGTTGATTGGGAATTGGTTCCCTGGGATTTATTTTACAGTATTCAGCTGTTCAGGCACCCAGAAGCCTCTCTAGCTACAATTCAAGGAGGCCTGGCCACTGCTCAAGCAAGTAGCAGACCCTGGTATCATCCATAAGGTCCTGGCTTTATAGACATGCAGAATGCAAGACTTATGGAGTCAGGAAGGCTTCCACCCATATTTTGGAAGGAGGCCTGGGTGGCCAGGCAGTGTTCCCCTGACAGGACAGTGCATGAAGCTGTGAGAGTAAAGCTGAGAGTTCACTGAAGACCCTAGAAAGTTAGAGAAGGCAGAAATGTAGAAAACCTGAGGAAAGCCACAAGCAGTGAGCAAAGCCACCCCAAGAGAAAGGCTAGTAGAGCTGCAACTGGCAATCCCATAGGGGTACAGCAACCCTTTGGAAATCACATCACCACGATTTGTCCCAGGTGTTGGACATGGAGCTATGGGATTTAATGCTTGCCCTGCTGGGTTTTGGTCTTGCTTTTGTCCCATTCCTTTCCATTCTCCTATTCCTCCTTTTTGGAATGGGAATGTTAACCATTGTATGTTGGCAGTATATACAGGACCTCATGGTGAAGAGTTGCCTGGAGTCTCAGATAAGACTTTGGGCTTAGGCTTTTCAGCAGTGTTGGAACACTGTCTTTTCAACGCATGTCAATGATCTCTTCAACTGAAACTGAAAACTTAACACTTTGGTGACACTTAAGAGATGGACTAAATGCACTTTGCATAAGAGATATAGACGAGTCTTTTGGTGAACAGCAACAGAATGTTATTGTTCAGAAAATGTCTCTGAAAGGCTTTATTTGCTCATACGACTTTTGGAAGGTGGCTGAATCATAGGGGTGATATAGCTGACTTACTGTTAGGAGGTGAGGTCTGGTGAGAAGAGGTGGGTCATTGAGGGTGTGACCTGAAAGGACCCCAAACGTATTTCCTTCCCTGGCTCCTCCCTTCTCAATCTGCTTCCTGGCGATCGTGACATGAGCAGCTTTCCTCTACCCAGGCCCTTCTGCATCTGTCTTGGAGCCTGTCTCTGTCTCTGACCCTGCCCACCATGCACTGAAATTTCTGAAAATGTGAGCTGAAATAAACCTCTCATCCTTTCAGCTGTGGGTGTTGGATATTATGTCTCAGAGACAAGAAAATGACCAAGAGAGTTCCATTCCCTGAAAAAGCCTCAAGTAAAACAACCACTTTGGGCAAGACACTTTGCTAGGCATTGTGGAAAAAGAAAAAAATAAGAAAAATGTGTAATTTTGTGCTCCAGGGGCCCCTGAATCAGTGTCATAGATTGACAAGAGTGTTTGGAAGAAAAGCAAAGAGATGAGCTACAATAAACTTCTTGTCCTTAAAAAAAAGGAAAAAGAAAGGAAAGGGAAATTCAGACAGGAGGGATCTATGGATCCCTGGTAGAAGACACAGACAGCAGTAGAGGTGGGGGCTTACATTAAAAGGTAGAAAGTGACACATAGTTGAGGCTGGTACAGTGACACATGGGAACTAGTAGGAAGATGCCTGAGAAAATCAAGGGTTGAAAAGGCAGACTGGGGAGGAAAGGGCAACAGTTTAGAGAAAATATGACCACAGTCTGGGTTGAGGGGGACCAGGAAGAGCCTACGGTGAAGAAAAAAGAATATCTGGCAAATAGAGGTCATATTCCAAGTGATATACTGGCACTAAAATGAAATGATTGCCTGGTGAGATACAAGGCAAGCAGTATAAGAGTTACTTACAAACTCATCAACAAGCTGGGGTTTTCCTGATGACTACTCCCTCCTACGGGTTCATTAGGTGAGCCCAACACTCCTAAGTGACATGAGGAAATGAAGGCTTGGTAGTTCCAAGACTTGCCACAGAATTTCCACAGTTCCTCATCCAGTTACTGGTAAAGGTGGGGATGGACCAGGTCTTTCTACTACCCTCCACGCTGTCCCAAATTTGCACATCCGCTCACCGGAAGGAGGAAATAAGCTACCCTTGCACCCTCTATAGCCTCTACTAAGTACCTCAGCTAGGTCTCCACCTTAGGATAAGGGCTAAAGTAGGCAGGGCCAACTTGGGTGGAAGAGGCTTCAAAGTTTGGACTTCACCCTGCTGGCTGAGTGCATGTGTATGGGGGAAATGACATGATATGGACAAAAGTATAGCAAGGTTACTGAAGCAAGAACAGGAGGTTTTGTTTTCGACATGATTAACATAAAGTAGTAATCAGACCATGACTGCAAACAATGTAATTTGCCGGATTGGTCCAGGAGGAAACAGCTAGGCCTAGGGAAGGCTCCCCCTGATGTACACATTAGATGCAGGAAGCATCTACTGACATCTATTGCTTTTATTTATTGTTATTTTTTGTGGTACTGGGGATTGAACTCACAGCCTTACATATTGCTAGGCAAATGCTCTACCACTGAGCCACACCCCTAGCCCTTTTCATTTATTTATTTATTTTTAAATTTTGACACAGGGTCTTGCTTAGTTGCACAGACTGGCCTCAAACTTGTGATCTTTCTGCCTCAGCCTCCTGGGTAGCTGGAATTACAGGTGTACACCACTGTACCCAGCTCATCTATTGCTTTTTAATCATTCATTGTCTTTTCAACACATGTCAAGGGTCTCTTGAAAATTTTGGGTTTTTTTAATCTTATTTTTGTAGATTGATACTAAGGCCTTCTCACAGAACACCATAACCTGCCCCTTTTTTATTGCGAGACAAGGTCTCATTAGTTGCCAAGCTTTCCAGGCTGGCCTTAAATTTGCAATCCTCCTGCCTCAGCCTCCCACGTAGCTGGGGTTACAGGTGTGCACCACCACATCCAGCTACAGTATTTTCATTTCATGAAATGAAAATATCATGAAATGAAAATATCTCCTGGATAGCTTGGCTAAGGCTCCTACTGGAGGCTAACAGAAGAGCATTAAGCTCTCAACAGGAAGAAGGTGTAAGGTCTAAAAAACAACAGCTAGAGGAACTGGCAAGGTAGTGCTTATCTCTGAACCAAAAACAGAGCCTTGTTGGACATAAGCAGTGAACTTGTCATTGCTGGAATAGATCTTTTTCCCCAGGAACAAAACAAACTGGGTTTCACTTTTATAACTGGTATTTAAGACGAATACCTATTCCTTTCCATTACTCCCTTTTGCCAAAGGGACAAACCTGTGTGCAATGGCTTCCTGGAAAAGGTGCATTCGATCCCAATAGGTTTCTGGTTCAAAGCCTGAAAGAAAGAGAATAAATGCTGAGATGTGATCACAACATTTATAATTTCTCTTCTGTCTGGGCTTCCATACCCTGTACTACTCTTGGCAATTCTTATCCACTAAGCCTAAGCTCTGCTTTTCCACACTGCCTGTTTGGAAGACCAGCTTCCACCCCAAGGTCAAAGAAAGGACAACCGTATGTTCGCACCATCCCTTTATGTAAGGTACAGCAGGGTCTAGAAAAGTGATAGGTCCTCAGCAGCCAGCATGGGCTACAGAACCCAATATGATATCCTATACCCAAGGCTAAGAGGAGCATATTAAAATACAAACGAGAGGGCTGGGGGTTTAGCTCAGCAGCAAAAGCGCCTGCTTGGCAAGCGCAAGGTTGTGAGTTCGGTTCCTGGTACCGGAGAAAAACCAAAAAAAAAAAAAAATAAAATAAAATAAAATAAAATATAAACGAGATAAACCTTAAATGCATGTTAGCTGCTTCTAAGGAACAGTAACACCACCACCTATGGTTTTATATGCCAAATTTTCCATTTCCCCATAAGGGAAGGCAATATTACCAGCTCCTTTTTATGGGTAGGGAAACTGAAGGGAGTAAATAGAAAAATAAAATTTTGACAAGTGATCAGGTGGGGAGGGAGCAGAGCACATGCACCCCTCCGCCACCAGCCATTGTGTTGCTCCCATAGGGATGCTGCTGAGGACCCAGCGCTAAGTGAGGAGGCGGGAGAGCTGAGCAGGCTGTCACACAGCAACAGGCAGCAAAGCCCAGACCGCTCTTGGGAGGGAGTTACTGAGGGCTGGGGTAGCAATTGCACAGCTACCCCAAAGGCTTGAGGCGCCTGAAGTGGCTCTGTAACTCTTTCATATTTAGAATTTTTTAGCTAAGACAGATTTCAGGGTTCTGGACAAGAAAGAGTAAAAATAAAACAAGGGCTTCGGCTTTAGTAGGAAAACACACGCATACACACACGCGCGTGTGCGCGCAGCATGTTCTCATCAGATTTTAAGATTCTGAACTCACTGTTATATGAAGCAGCAATAATAGGAAGAGATAGAGCAAAAAATTGATTTTTAGGCTCAAGTCCTTACTCCTTTAAAGTAGGACTCCTTTCTTTAGCTGTAACCATGGCAACCAACAGAGGATGCTGGTCGTGAAGACTGGGTAATAACTTGCAAGGAAAACCATCAACTTGCACAAAAATGTCCTCTAATGCCATCCCTGTGAGCCGCGCTGTGCAGTTTCAGTGAGGGTGGAAAGCCCCAGAGCCTTGGAGATGATGTGAGAGATCTCTCTGTCCCTCCAATATACTAATAACAACACTACAAGGAGCTGCCTGGTTTAACACTGTGACAAGAACACAACCAACCAGCATTTCAGGACTACATACACGGTCCTCTCTCACTCATGCTGAATGTGCAGGCAGAGGGACTTTTAAAACTCTTTATTATCTTGGAATCTATGGCCAGGATGGGACTTTGCAGGGCTTACCTGGAACCCCAACCATCACTTGGAACCTTGTGTCTATACAGAAATATCTTCTAAATTTTCAAACAAGGAATACGCAAATGAGCCTTTGAAAAGAAGCTATTTGTACAAGTAGGGCAGCCTGTCACATGAAAGCACAAGAATACTGAGCCCAGCCTTTCTCACACGGAAGACCACCTCACCCTCTGCTGCCACCAGGACACACACTTACAAGAACATGGAAAGAAAATATCTCCCATACGTCAGAAGTTGTTTCTTTCACATGTCATAATTCTCAAAAGCTCCTTACATATTGGCATCAACTCTAGCCTTTGATTTTAAAAAACATCTTCTGTGAACTCACGGAAAATTTTAAAAGTATTATAATACACACATACACACACACACACACACACACACACACACACACACACACACACGCACAATAAAGAGCGACGTTCTGTACTATGTAAAGGAGACCTCATCCTCTGATCTGTCCTAAACTTAGTGGACTGGGATTGAGTGGCAGGTCAGGTAGAACCTGTGTACCCCATTTTGACTGGCAACCTTGTTCTGACCTGGGTTCTGCTGTCCTCCTCTGAGCTTGCTCCAGCTTTGCTTTGTCTTCCTTGATATTTAGGGTTCAAGCCATATGCAGGACTCCAGGAGTTGACATATTACAACTTTATACTATAGGATACTGTTACCATTTTGCTTTCAATGCCGTTTTTTATGCCTTTTTGCAAAGAAATGCATATGCAACCTCCCATGAGGTTCAAATCCCTGGGCCTATAGATCAGTTAGACTGGTGCACACAAAAGGCGGCCTGGGAGAATAGCAGTGCTGCTAGGGATTTACATGCATGGCATCTTCTTCTACCTACTGATCTACACCTTATCGAAGTCCTCAAAGGTGGGAAGGTGATCTAGCCAATCTCATTTTAGTAATAAAAAATCTGAGGCTCAGCCAGCAAGTGAAGAACTAGGATGGACACCCAATCATTTTGGCCCCTTGGAGAAAGTCTCTCTCCCTTTTTTTTTTCACTAGCCTGAGTTGATTAGATACCCAGAGAGGTACCCTTGCGGCAAGGGTCTGACTCACTGACACAGAGCTTCTAGAGGGGAATATCTCTTACTGTCGAACAGATGCTCGCTGCCTTCCTTGATCAGGCAGCTGATGTTGAGCGGAATGAAGAGCTGGGCTCGAAGCGGGTCACCATACAGGTAGCTGGGCAGAGCAAAGGGCCCCTCCAAAACAGGGACCAACAAGAAGCCACATGAGGTGGCTTTTCGATGCCAGCCTTGGACCTGGTGGAAAGTACAGAAATAAACAGTGTCATCTCCGAGTTCTTCCAGGCAAGAAAAAAATACTTCCACAGGGAAAACCTGCCAAAGCAGTGACACCCATATTGACTGGCATGTCCATTTATTCATGTTCACTGGCTCCAAACTCACCCTGGACAGTAATAAGTGCAGTTTCACTTCCTGTGACAAATACCTGAAAAACTGAGATGGCCACACAGCTCCCCTTCATGGCCCAAGTTTCTGAAGCTTCAGTGATTGTTTTGTAAGGAACAGACTGGAGAAAGCCCCTTCTTACTCTGTGGGGTGCTGGAGGAAGGGTACAGGATATAGGTAAAATTCTTCTAACTTTGTCCTTTATCAAGAGCGTAAGGGCTAGGCATAGTGTTCAGCTGTACCGTGCTTGCCTAGTGTGCATGAGGCCCTGGGCTCAATGCCCAACACCAGGGAAAAGCAATTTAAAAAGCCTAAAGTACCAATAAGAAAGCAATTTACTCAGGCCAGCTGGGAGACACATGACATTGAAGATGACTGTGGTGGCCTTTGGCCAGTGATTGGTGCTGACATGCAAAGTGAGAGCCGTTCTCGGCAGAGTCCCCAAGACCAAGAATGAAAATTGCTGGGGCCTAAAGACAAACCACCTATCAGTAACACTTTCTTGGAAAATAGTGGCAGTTTTCTAATTTTTGAAGCACTTTTTTAAATCATAAAATTGATGCTTTTTTGAAGGGTGGAGGGTAGATTGTGACGGGGTCTTGCCATATAGTTCAGGCTGACCTCGAGCTCACTATGCAGCCCAAACTGGCCTTGAATGTCTTGTGATCTTCTTGCCTTGGCTTCCTGAGTTCTGGGATTAGAAATGTGTGCTCAGAAATATATAAAATTTTATTTTTATTTTATATTTTTTTTCTTTAAAGCTGGGACTAAAGGTATAGCATGGTGATTAAGCACTTGCCCAGCATCTGTGAGGCTTTGGGTTTGATCCTCAGTACCTGCCTCCAAAAAGCTGACAGATATGGTCTCTGGCATAAAGATAAGATCTATATTTTTTTATTTAGTTATTTCAAGACAGGTCTTGCTGTGTCACCTCCGCTAGTCTTGAACTTGGGTTCAAGTGATCCTCTTGCCTTATTGCCTTGGCCTTCTGAGTAGCTGGGCCTGCTGGTTAAATACTATTTTAAAAAGACAGAAGCCAGGCACAGTAGGATGTGCCTGTAGTCCCAGGTACTTGGGAAGCTGAGGCAGCAGGATCACTTGGGCCCAAGAGTTCAGGCTGGCCTGGACAGCGTATCAAGACCCCCATTTCAAAATGAAATGAAATGAAATATATGGTGTGTGCCATAGACAAATCTAAGTTGAAGGGGACTACTCTTAGCTTTTCCTCAGGAATATCCACAGTAACAGCAACAAACCAAGATCTCTGGTTAGACCAAGTTAATTTCCAAAGCTTAGGCAATAATATTTTTACACTCTACGTGGCTAAGGCTGGAGGACTGCAAGTGTGAGCCTACCCTAGATTGCTTGGTGATTTACTGTGACACTGTTGCAAAATAAAAGGCTGGGGACCAGGCATGGTGACACGCACCTGTAATCCCAGCACTCACGAGGCTGAGGCAGGAGAATCACTGTGAGTTCCAGGCCAGCCTGGCCAGCCTGAACTGTATAGCAAAACACTGTCTCAAAAAGACAAAAAAAAAAAAGAAAGAAAGAAAGAAAGAAAGAAAGAAAGAAAGAAAGAAAGAAAGAAAGAAAGAAAGAAGGGAAGAAAGAAAGAAAGATCGTTCTAAAGAAATCCTATAAAAATAAATAAATAGCTGGGCATGGTAGCACACACCTGTAATCCCAGCACTGGGGAGGCTGAGGCAAGAGGATTGCTGTGAGTTGGAAGCCAGCCTAGGCTACATAGGAAGATCCTATTTAAAAAAAAAAAAAAAGTACATGCCTGTAATCCTTGCACTTAGGAGGTTGAAGCAGGAAGACTACCATGAGTTTGAGGTCAACCTTGGCTACACAGTTAGTCCAAGCCTAGGCTAAACTATATATAAGACCCTGTCTAAAACAAGAGAAAAACACATAAGCAATTTCCAATAGTTTTTACATGAATAGGTATGAAAAGTATACTTTTTAAAGATAGTTCGTAAAGTCCTCAGAGGAAATAAACATTCTTTTTCCTTTCCAACTGTGATTACATGTGTATGTCTGCAAGTGCTGTGGTTGTGTTGTTTTGAGATATAGTTATCTGGCAGGGTCCGCAAAGAGAATGCTTATGCTGATGGGGTCAGAGGGTTAGTTTTGTTTTTTTTTTTTTAGTTTTTTTCCGATACTAGGAATTGAACTCGTGACCTTGCACTTGCCAGGCAGGCGCTGTGCCACTGAGCTAAATCCTCAGCCTTGGAGGCAGCATTCATTGAAGTGTCAACCAGCTGGGGAAGAGCTGTGTCTGGTGCCATCTAGGCAGGACGAGCAGCTGATATCTTTTTTTACTTGGACCTTAAGGATGCTCCATAGTCTTTCTGAGGGAGAGGTCCTCAAAGATGCTAATGCCATATACTGAGGTGCTTGCAGACACAGACCCAGACCCAGACCTCTCCCTGTAGGACACCACATCTTATTATTTTTGTCCCACAAGCTCTGGACAACAAAACTTGCTGCCAATGCTGTGCTCATTTCTCCTGGGTCATCTCCCAGCTTTCAGTAAATTCTTTCTGAACTTTCCAGCTGGTCTCAGCTGTACAAAGAAATCTGCTCAGGCCAATGTTGGGGGTGGGAGTGGGGTGGAACAGACTCAGTTGACCCATAGGAAAATATTCTTTTTTGGCTCAATCAGAGTGTGTAAAAGGAGTAGCAGATTGTGATGATAGGGAGGGCTCCGGGGAGATATAAACAGCTCGGGTAAAAATGCTTATTCTATAGGCACTGGCACTGGAGAATGGCAGCGGCCAGGGACAGATTCTTAGTGCAGGGGTAATGAATGGCCTGCCCAGATGGGCAGGCGAGAAGGACCAGTTAAAATGGGGCTTCTTAGCCTTGGCATTTGTGACATTTTGGGTCACTTAATTCTTTGTCTAGGTGCTGTCTTGTGCATTGTAAGATGGTAAGCAGCAACTCTGGTCTCTACCCACTAGATGCCAGTAGCACCCCTCACGCCCACTCTGTGTATTAAGCAAAACTGTCTGCAGATATTGCCAAATGCACCTGGTGGGGAGAGGAGGCCTTGCCCTTGTGAGAGCCAGTGACTTAAAAACTGGTGCTTATCAACAGAGGATTAAATTATGGTGCAAATAAAATATTCTGCAGCCCTTAAATACAATGAGGTAAAATAAAAACAAAAACCAACTACCGAAAAACACCAAACACAAACAAGATGGATTTATATGTGTTTATATGAAGTATGATGGAATAATATGGCAAGGGTCTAAATTTTTTTAAAAACTTGGTATAGTAAAAGACACATTGCCATTGATCCCCCCTCAAAATATTCTCTCTCTCTTCAAACACATTTATCCCATCATTCTTGCTACTTTGTGAAGCAGTTCTGGAAGACCTCTATGAGTGTCTTTAGTTGCACTGTAGAATGGTTTCAATGCCCTGAATAGATTCAAAGTGCTTCCTTTTCACAGTCATTCTGACTTTGGGGAAGAGCCAGAAGTCATATGGTGCCAGATGTGGTGAATAAGAGGATAAGGACACACTGTAATACATTTTTGAGCCTGTCTTCCCATTGGATGACACTTAACAACAACATTCACTGAATTTTTGATCACATCATGTAAAGACATTCATGAAAGAGGACTTCCAGAATTGCTTCAAAAAGTGACAACAAAGCCAGGTGTGGTGCTGCACACCTGTAATCCCAGCACTCCGGAGGCTGAGGCAGGAGGATTGTTGGGAGTTCGAGACCAGCCTGGGCTACAAAGTGAGCTCAAGGCCGGCCTGACTGCACATTGAGACCCTGTCTCACAAAGACAAAAAAAACAGTGGCAACAATGATGAGCTAAGTGTGTTTGAAGCAAGGTGTATTCTGAAGAAGATAATTAATACCAATGTGTTTTTCATTGTAAATTTTTAAAAATAGAATTTATCATAATATATTGCAAATGTTGTTATAATTTTTTTAAATGTAAACATTCACTGTATATTTTGATCACCTGTTGCATGGAAGATATATAGGTATAATAGGAAAAACAAATGCAAATAGAATATATCCCATGCTACCATCCTCGTTAAAAAAAAAAACAAAAACAATAAGCAGTGCTGGATGTGGTGATGCATACCGGTAATCCCAGCTACTTTTTGTGTTTTTTTGTCTTTGTGAGATAGGGTCTCACTGTGCAGTTCAGACTAAGCTTGAGCTCACTTTGTAGCCCAGACTGTTCTCGAACTCACAAAGATCCTCCTGCCTCGGCCTCCCAAGCACTGGGATTACAGGCATGTGCCACCACGCCTGGCAATCCCAGCTACCTTTAAGGATTTTTTAAGGATTGCAAATTTGAGGCCAGCCTCAGAAACATACTAAGGCCCTATGGGTGGTGGGGGAAATAAGCTAGGCATAGTGGGACATGCCTGAAATCCCAGCATTCTAGGAGGTTGAGGCAACAGGATTACAAATTTGAGCCAAGCCTGGGGAAGGAACTTAGTAACTTGGTGAGACCCTGTCTCAATATAAAAAAATTTTAAAGGGCACGGGATATTGCTGAGAGGTGGAACACCCTTGGGTTTGATCCTTAGTACTCAGGGGAAGAAAGGGCAACCAACACACAAAGAAGAAGTTACAGGATTTTGCATATGTACAGAATCTTTCTAGGGGAGCAGTCCCCAACCTTTTGGGAGCTGGTTTCATGAAAGAGAACGTTTTCATGAACAGGGTGGGAGGGCAGTGGGTGGGTTCAGGATGATTCAAAGGGACATGCAACCTAGATCCCTCCACGGCACTTCACAGCAGGCTTCGAGCTCCTATGAGAATCTAACGCCACTGCTGATCTGACAGGTGATGCAGCTCCGGCGCAGTGTGAGTGATGGGGAGTGGCTATAAACCTAAATGAAGCTTCACTCAGTTCCGAACAAGTACAAGTCTGTGGGTCAGGGGTTGGGGACTCTTCTGTAAAAGTACACTAAACTAAGTGAACCAAGTGTAGTGGTGGTTACTTTAGATGGAAGAACCAGGACACAAAGATGGGAGAGACTTACTGGACCAGTGATGCTGCACTACAGCAGTACTCCCTCTCCCTGGTGCCATGTGCCAATTCTAGAGACATTTTTGGTTTTCACAGGTGGGGTTGCATAGGTACCCATTTAGTGGGTAGAGGCTAAGATATTGCTCAACATCCTGCAATGGACAGGACAGCTCTCCACCGCAGAGAATTATCCAGCCCCAGATGTCGGTAGTGCCAAGGCTGAGAAACCCTGTTCAAACCCTGTTTAATTTTTTTTAAAGGCTATTCCAACAGTCCAAGCAAAAGGAAATAAAAGCCCAACCCAAATAATCAAAGTGACACAAATCTTTACTAAGCATCCTCTAGAGCATTCTGTGAGAAGAACATAAGGCCCTGACCACATGTGTGAAGGTCTCACCATCTCAAAGAGCACCGCGGCTGTCACTGCCATCCAGTGTAGCTTGATCTCAAACGCTGCGTTCAGGGAGAAGTTGCCGTGATAGTAACAGCTACACCACTCTAGCCGGTCTGTGCGGTTGTTCACATCAACATCCAGGGTCACAGTCCTCTGCTCTGGGACAGTGGCAGCTGTGTTAGCATATAAGAGGGGATGAAGACAGAGGGGATAGGAATGGGATGAGGAGGAAGAACAACCAGATATGAAACAGCAGAATTACCTAATAGAAAATCACAAATTCTAGGAGTTTCCTGAAAATAATCTAGTCCAAGGATCCAGAAACTTTTTCTGCTTGTGGTTAAAGAATAAATATTTTAGGTCTCATGAGCCATATGGTTTCTGTCACAACTGTTCAGGTCTGCTACTATAGTGTACAAGCGGCTACAGTGATTTTGTAAAAGAATGGGCTTGGCTGTGTTCCAATAAAACTTTATTTATAATAACAGATTGTTAGGGCAGTGAAAATATTCTGTGTGATATTCTAATGGTCAATATGTCATTGTATATTCGTCCAGACCCACAGAATATTTAACACTAAGAGTGAACCTTAATGCAAACCATGGACTTTGGGTGATAATGATGTGTCAACACAAGTGGATGGATTGTAACAAATGTCACTTTGATGAGAGATGTTGAAAGTGTACTGGATATGTATGGCAGCAGAAGATATTCACAGACTTTTTACTCAATTTTTCTGTGAACCTAAAATTCTTCTTTAAAAAATAGGTATTTATAAAACAAATACATAGTAAACCAGATTTGGTGGGCTGAAGTCTTGAGACAGCAATTTTGATGAGCTTTGTTGAGAGGCAAGGGAATGACAGCTAGGGCACAAAGCGGCACCCGGGCACTGTGCCACTGAGCCGCCAAGTGTACCCCTTACCATTCTCTCAAAACTAGAACATGCAAAATGAGAACCGCTCTGGGCTTGGAGTCAGAAAACCTAAGCTCTGCCATTTACTAGCCATGTGTCTGTGAGAATGCTGCTTTACTTCTCCTGGTTCCTGTCTGTGATCTGAGATGTGGCAGCTCAGCTGCTTCAGGGAGGAGTGAGGACCAAGTGAAATAAGACTGGGAAGGGTTAATAGGCTGGGGTGTTTTCAGTGGAATGAATGACAAAGCTTTCTGATGGTCAGTTAATCGCCTACTATCTGGTTTGCTGACTCCACACCTGATGTTCCAAATTCAGTTTTCCCCAATACGGCTAAATTACATTCATTTATATAACTGCACACAAACAAGTATGTATTGAAGTTGACAAGTACTGTTATAGGTGTAGGGATAGCCAGTGAATAAAACGAAGCTCATCACATGGCTTAAGTCCTTCTGGATGTAGAAAAACACACAAGCTGTACAAACATACAAAATGTGGGAGAGAGTGAAGCTCTCTATTTCCTATTTCCCTGGCAGGTATTTACCCCTATCTCAGAGCCACAGGAACCATGGAAAAGGGGAAGGAGTTCCAGCTGACATTCCTTGTTGTGTTAAGAACAACTGGGGAAGAAGAGACAAGGGGGGAGTGATGCTCAGCTTGAGTGTCTGGAATGGATGACCTTTTATAGTCCTTTCTCTTCTGCAACCCTGCAGATGCTAGAGTTCTAGGGAAGCCCTCAGGCAGCAACTGAACCTCAAGGAAGCACCAGCTTACAACCCCTGTGTCCTGTGGGCCTTGTGGATCACACCTCTATTCTCTCCTAACCATGCAGGTTTGGAGTCATGCTCTGATTTTGGAGGTTCTAAATACTGTCTATTGGTTGGGACAGTAATGGACCTGGACCTACTCTTTCAGTGGAAGATAGCACAGGACCCCTCAGTGAAAACAGACATAGTGACTAACATGCTGGCCACAGCGGCTCTAATTTTGGCATCATTCTCTTGGTTGGCTGCCACACCTTCCCAGCCACTTGCCAGTGTATACCCTGACCCGAGCAGAGTCAAGCATTTACCTAAAAGTGCAGCTGCCTGGCTCCGTCCTCCAAAACTTCGGCTAAAGGAGCTGTGCCTACTTGCATAGGAGGCTGGTCGGCTTGGCAGCCAGGGCAGGAGGAAGGCAGGAATCTCAGAGTGCAAGAGCTCTTCTGCCACAAAGGCTACCTCAAACCACTTGCGCTGGAAGCTGGCAAAGTCATCCACTCCTGCTGTGTGCCAGGTTGCTGTAGGCTGCTGCATGGCCACTGGAAGAAGTAGAGGAGACAGAGCGATCCCTCAATACAAACTTAATTTTTTTACTGTTGCATGCTACACTAGGGATGAACTTGAAAACATTATGTTAAATAAAAGAAACCACACATAAAAGTCACATACCGTATAATTCCATTTATATGAAATATACAGAGTAGGCAAATCTTTAGAGACAGAAAGCATATTAGTGGTTGTCCAGGGAATGGGGGAAGGCTAGATAAGGAGTAACTGCCAATGCGGATGGCATCTCCTTTTTGGGGTAACGAACATGGTCTAGAACTAAAGGTAGTGGTTACACAATAGCATGAATGTTCTGGACAACCAGTTAAAGTGGTTAATTTTATGTTACATGAACATTACTTCAGTTCCATCTCCTTAGTTTCAGAGCACATAATGGTAAACTGTTTTGTTTTTCAATTCACAGGCAAAACAGGTATTTATTGGGCAAACTAGATTTTAAGGGAAAAGTATCAACAGACATATGGTGGCTACAAGGAGAAAAACAAAATCCATATAGATCTACTTTGGTAATGTCCTTGAACAAGAGAACACAATGAGTGGCACCAGCTGTACCATTTCATATACAATTCCTTGGACCCAATGTGGAGAAACCATCTGTTTGCAGGATGGGAGTCATTTTTAGGCAAGGTCTTCATACAGACTGTGGGCACTTGAGACAGTGTTGTGAGCCCTGGGTGTCTCCAAGGATATATGAGACCTGCTAGAAACTGTTCCTCTCTGGGGAAGTACTTTTCCTCATTTAAAAACAAACAGACAAACTAAGGGCTGGTAGTATGGCTCAGTGGTGGAATGCTTGCCTAGCATGTGCAAGACCTGGGGTTTGATCCCTAACACCGCAATCAGTCAATCAATCCATAGTCAGCCCTCTTGATCTGTTTTTGTTTGTTTTGTTTTTTGTTTTTTTTGTTTGTTTGTTTGTTTGTTTTTGAGACAGGGTCTCGCTATGCAGTTCAGGCTGGCCGTGAGCTCACTTTGTAGCCCAGGCTGGTCTCGAACTCGCAAAGATCCTCCTGCCTCAGCCTCCCGGGTGCTGGGATTACAGGCGTGCGCTGCCATGCCTGGCCAGCCCTCTGGATCAGTAGGCTCTGTATCCAAATTCAATCAGCCACACATCAAAAAATATTCGGAAAAAAAATTGTGTTTACACTGAACATGGAAAGACTTTTTTCTTATTTCCTAAACAATACAGTATGACACAGTAATTACATTGTGTTAGGTATCACAAGTAATCTAAAGATGATTTAAAGTATACAGAAGAATATGCACCAGTTATATGCAAATACTACATGCCATTTTATATCAGAGACTTGAGCATTTGTGGATTTTTGTATCCTAGGGGAAAGTTATCCTAGAACCAATTCCCCTCCAATACCAAGGGATGACTATACTGAAAGCTTAACTTGGGAAACTTGCTACGACTTGGTAGTCTTGCTGAGGGAATAAATCGAGTCCGGAAGCCCAGCAAGTGAGAAGTGCTAGAGATCATGACAAGTCACAGATTGGAGCCCATTTCATCAGAACCACCTGCACTGGATGGTGGCAGCAAGACACTACAATTAATAATGGTTACCAAAAGACACCTGTGGGAATTTCTCACACCAGCCCCCTTGGTCTCTTTTATGTCTTCCTCCCACCCACATTGTCCTCAACAAGAACATACTGTAGCTTAAGAAAATCTTGTTGCTCTGGTTATACTTTATATATACTTATATATATACTTATATATATAAAATCAAGGAAGTTGACAGATCCATCAACATGGAATACACTGAGCTCAAGAAGCACTGTCACATGAAGCACTGTCAAAACACCGGCCCCTGTCGGCAGCTGCCTTGCCTTGGCTCTGACCTCGATCAGGTTCTCTGTCCATTACTATCTTGTAGAAGTAGAAGCCATAGATGAAGGTCCGCCACGCTTCCCCAGAGGCATGTGTGATGAGCTGTTCTTCCAGCATTTTCTAGGAGAGATAATGAGATTCTGAAATTCCCACAGAGAGATTCTCAAAAGGGCAGCCCTCAGTTATGCAATGGAATCAAGGGGGTGTCAGGAGCATGGAGGAGATCCTCCCCTCTCTTCTTCCCCTACCATCACACAAGGTTGTATTACATGAAATGTTGTGCCTGGTCTAATTATATCAAAAGATTTAAATGCATATTATGTTAGCAAATGTTTCAAATTTACAGAAAGGTATAAAGAAAACCCAGGTATATCACCATCCAGTTTTAATACATTTAACATTTGCCATACACTAGCCCCCCTTTATCTGACAGGGATGTGTTGCAACACATCCAAAAGATGCCTGAAATCTGATAGTGTCAAATCCTATACACACAGTCAGCCCTCCATATCTATGGATTCAACCAACTGCAGATCAAAAATATTTGAAAGAAAACATTACATCTGTACTAAACATGTACAGACTTTTCTTGCCATTCCCTAAACAATACAGTATAATAACTATTTACGTGCTAGGGGTATAGCTCATTGGCACAGCACCTGCCTGGCAGGCATAAGGTCCTGAGCTCGATTCCTAGTACCAAAAAAAAAAAAAAAACTATTTACATAGCATTTACATTGTATAAGATATTATAAGTAATTAGGAGATGATTTAAAGTATATAGGAGAATATACGTAGGATATATGCAAATACTATGCCATTTTCTATAAGGAACTTGAGTATATGAAAATTTTGGAATCCATCAGTGTCCTGGAACCAACTCATAGCTACTGAGAGACAACTGCATTGTTTTTATCCTGTGTGTGTGTGTGTGTGTGTGTGTGTGTGTATGTATGATGAAGTTTAATTTATAAGTTAGACACAACTAGTGATTAACAACAATAATAAAATGGCATAATTATAAAATATACTATATTAACAGTTCTTTAAAACTTACAAATTATTTATTTTTGCAATTTGCCATTTAATATTTTTGGATGTAGGTTGACCACAGGTAACTAAACCTTGGAAAATGGAACTGTGGATAAGGGGCACTACTGTACTTTTTTAATTTAAAAAAGTCCCTATGTATTCTTCCAAGTCCCATTCTTCTTCCTCTCTTCCCAGAAATAAATGGTTAGAGTAATATTCTTAAGTATGTTTTCTAAAAAGTTACTATATAAACATATACTGGCATAAGAATGAGGTATACTTGTGGGATTTAAATTTTAAACAAAGGACATAATACTGTATCATTTTATAAACTGGTTTCTACCATATCATGCTTCTGACATTTACCTATGTTGATATGTATACTCTAGCTCATTTCATTTTAACTGCTCTAGTAGCATTTCACTGTAGGAACAAGGAAATATTATTCTCTTAAGAGTCAGGAGTAAATAAAATTACCAGGAAAGGGTTATGCAAAATAGCACAGTGGGACCCTTAAAGAGAGAACTGAAGATTATGTACCTATTCAAACCAGTTATTGATTTTACATTTCACTGACAACAATCCAGATGGTCAACAAGCTAGTGATTTCTAGCAGGGACCCAGTATGAGCAGGATGGCATGAGTTGCCTCAGTCAACGTGACCTTACTCATCCCTCTCATGTTCAATTCCAGTTGTGAACAGTATAATTAAATTTAACAAATAGTTGCTAAGTGTCTACCTCGTGTCAAGCAAAATGCTAAGCATGGGGATGTGGAAACAGACAGCAAGAAGTGGTCCTTTGGGCTGGGGATACGGCTTAGTGGTAGAATGCTTGCTTATCATGCATAAGGCTCTGGGTTTGACTCCCAGAGGGGAGAGTGGGTGAGGACCCCTTTGTCTAGGCAGGAGACAAAAGAGACAAAGACATGTTCTTTATTCTGGTACAGTAAGAGCTTCTGGTACCCAGAGCCACTGATGCAGAGCTTGACTCTGGTCTTGGATAAACAGGCATTAACCACAGTACAGTGGAGACCTGAGGTGTGGGGAAGAGTGTTCCATGAAAATCTTTCAGAGATTTCTAAGACTTAAAAGTGCACTGATTCCATGCAGAACATTTCAGTTCAGACAACAAGTGCTGTCAGACTTTTAAGTCCAGGAAAAGTATACTGCGAAGCAAAACCTCTCCTTTTATCAATTGCAGGTAGGTCTCCTACTTATTAGAAACAGAATCTCATACAAACAACATCTCATCACTGCTTTTGGTGACTACTGCTGAGGCAGGGCCTGGTTTTGTGAGGACCTAAGCCACCAGGTCTGTGCACCCGGCCTTGCTATCTCACCTGCATGATGTCAATGGCCATCGCCTGTGTCTGGACCCCCTCCACATTGTTCATCAGCCAGTGCACCACCTCGGCACTGATGAAGCAGCACGGCGAGAGACCCTTCTGTTCAGACAGCAGCTGGACGCCTGTCCTGGGTTCCAAGGCAGTGAGCAGGGTGTGTGTGTGCCCAGCGGCACCAAGCAGAAAGAAAAGACAAGAAGGTACTCCCATAAAATCACCTGCTACTAGACATGAGGACCCCATAAACAATTTCTCTAGAATACGCAATTCCTAGACCAAGAAAATGCCTCAGGACAGGACAAAAAAAGGTGGTACGAGGAAATAGAAGGGGAGGGGAAGGGAACTGACACTGGGGAAGACCTTACTTAGCAGGTATTACAGATATTTAACAATTTCACTTAATCCTTTTAATAACAATGCTTAAATCATTTTTTTTTT